GTAATAATAATACATATTAAAATAGTTTTAATTAAAAATCAATTAAATAAAAATATATATATTAAAAGATTTTTAATATAATAAAATAACGTAGTATAACTTTAATAATTTTTAATATGCCCCACCCATAAATTTAAACCAGATAAGTAAAAAATTTCGGGAAAAAAAAAAAAAAAAAAAAAAAAAAAAAACTCTAAAAAAGACTCTCATATTGACCTCCTCATCAACACTTATCGACATCCTCAACACCTAATAGCTGGTGTATCGCTATGGTGATTTATCTTGAGGTGGCACTCTGCTGCTGTTCCAACGCTCTGCTCCTAATGTGAAGTGTCGGTTAAGATCTAGCCGCAAGTAAATCAACTGACTGAGGGGGCAACTGCTGACCTAGCAATGATTGAAGCTGGCTAAAGATCATTTAGCTTGTTTGCTTCGCTTGAATTGGATCAGTACCGTTTGAATAGTTAGGAAGTCCACTCTCTACTAATACCATGAATCGATACTCCTACATCTATGCTATCGCTTGGTTATTCGTATTGGGGTGGTTTTAGCTACTTTTCTAATGCTCTGCTCCTTATGTGAAGTGTCGGTTAAGGTCTCGCCGTAAGAAGTTCAACTTGCAACGGCTTACCCGACATCGTTTTTCAGTACGGGTTAAAGATCATTTAGCTTGTTTGCTTCGCTGGAATTGGATCAGTGTGTGTTTGAATAGTTGGGAAGCCACTACCAACCGATACCCTGAATCGATACTTAGATCTTTTGCCTTTCCTTCCTTTTTTGACTTGCTTAACCACACTAATTCATTAATAAAAAAATATATTTTGTATAATTTCCTTTAAACATAACTTTAAACAATTAAAATATAACTTTTTAAAAAATATAAATTTAAACAATTAAAACCAAAATAAAGCATGAGCACTCAATAACTTTAAACTATTAAAAGATATAACAATATATGTGTGTAAAACCTATTAAATAAAATAAAAAAACCTTATATCTTTCTACCTCCATAATCAACACCAATTAACACTCGTAGCACTCAACATCTGGTCTATCGCTATGGTGATTTATCTTGAGGTGGTATTCTGCTGCTGTTCTAACGCTCTGATCTTTATGCGAAGTGCCGATTAAGATCTATCCGCGAGTAGATCAACTGACTGTGGGAGCTATTGCTAACCCAGCATTGATTGAAGCTGGTTAAAGATCATTTATCTGGTCTGCTCCGCTCAAATTCGATCAGTAAAATTTTAATAGTTGGGAATCTACCCTCTACTAATACCATGAACCGACACTCCTACATCTACGCTATCGCTTGGCTATTCGTCTTGTGGTGGTTTTAGCTGCTTTTATAATGCTCTGCTCCTTATGTGAAGTGTCGGTTAAGATCTTGCCGTAAGAAGTTCAACTTGCAACGGCTTACCCGACATCGTTTTAAGTACGGGTTAAAGATCATTTAGCTTGTTTGCTTCGCTGGAATTGGATCAGCGTGTGTTATAATAGTTGGGAAGCCACTACCAACGCATACCCTGAAGAGATACCTAGATCCCCTCATTAATTCACTTCAACCATATCAATCCACTAATAAAAAATCTAAATTTTTGCTAAGCTTCGTTCAAAATATAACTCTCAAAAAATTTAAAATAATTAAAGAATAACTTTAAACAATAAAATATAACTTTAATTGATTAAAATCTAAATAAACTATGATCACTCAATAAATTTAAATTAATAAAAAAATAAATAATTACTTATATAAAAAATAAAAAAAAGAGCTACAATTCTTTTTTGTCCCCGTATTCCTTAATCTTTGAACTTCTCTCTAGACACCTGACTAAACTTTGCATAAATCTATTACTTATATTGTAATAATTGTTTCCTTTTTTCTTCCCTTAGGCTGACAGGTCCAGCTTGCATATCGAGTAAACAGACTTTGTCTGATTATCTCGGATAAATACCAACGCATACCCTGAAGAGATACCTAGATCCCCTCATTAATTCACTTCAACCATATCAATCCACTAATAAAAAATCTAAATTTTTGCTAAGCTTCGTTCAAAATATGACCTGACCCTAACCCTAACCCTAACCCTAACCCTAACCCCTAACCCTAACCCTGCTAACCCAAAAAAACGCACTTGAAACGGATTGAGTTGCTATTACGCATGCGTTTAAGTTATAAACATTCTAGATCATCCACGCTTAAAGGAGCTTCGCAGATTGAACTATTAGTATAAAAACTTTGATGAGTTAAAGTATAGTAGTTTTGTAAGAATAAGTTATTAAAAATTGTTTTAATAATAGAGTTATACAATTACTAAAAGTAATAGTTTGTGCAATTGAATTCTCTATATCAAGTTGTTGTGAAAGTTAATGGTAGTTTACTTAGCATTGAGTTATGGTATTTATGGTACAATGGTAATATAGTACTTTGGTAATTTTAGTTCAATATTATTTAGTAAAATATTATTTTAATATTATTTTGAAAACAATATTATTTATTAAAATATTATCTCTTTATAATAATAATAGTGCGCTTTCGAGCCTGTTTGACATGACACTCTTGGCAACCATTGCATCCGAGGTAGTGACGAGAAAGAGTCTTACCTTTGCTTTATAAGAAAACGCAAGCAAACGTGAAACTCATATTGTACGTACATAAACTTCATGTTATGTAATGTTAAAACATGCTTAAACATATATCAAGTTCAACAGTTTGATTTTCACTTAAGAACTGCATTTCGTCAACCTTTGCTTAATTTCTAATCTTTTGTGTTTTATCCGTTAAAAAACAATTTTTATATAATTTGAAATCTTCAAGACACTGCGTGATGGCGTAGTAGAGTAGTTAGCGCGCTGGGCTTCAAAACATAGCTGCCGTGGTTCGAGTCCTACCGTTGGCGACTACTGTTTTAATTTTTTTTTAGACTTTTTTAAATACAAATTCAAATACTTATAAAGTTTTATAGATATTGTATATAGACAATATATGTAAAGATATTAATCAAAAGTTTGATCCTCGCATTTTGACACAGAACCAACTTCGCTAACGAGAGAAAAAAAATCGTTCACAAATTTCAAAATTTTGTTTTTTCGTGAAGTCTTTTAACACTTAGTTTCCAACTTTCTTGACATATTTCAAGTCTTTTTGAGAAAAAACTTTGTTGATCAAATATACAAAAACAGAAATTCAGCTTTTTTGTATATGATAAATATCGCTGTGGTACAAAGTGCCAACCTAGGTTTTTTAAACAAAATGCCAATCGAGTTTCTCTTCCACGCGGTTTTAATCACCATGAGGCTTAGTTAAATGCTTAGTTAAATACTTAAAAAAAGATAAAATTTAAGGCTTAAAAAAAGAATTTTTTACAAATTTTTTCTTACATCTCTTTAATCCTTGACTTTTAGATTTAGATTTATTACATTGATAGTAACATTATCATATTATTATTTTTAGATTATTACATTGTTTGATATTTTTTTAGATTAATAAATTTGAAAATAAATCATGTCAGGTAGCATTTTTTTTTTCTTTAGTTAATTTTTTTTTAAATTGCTTATTGACCTCTTTTTAAATTTTTAGAAGCTTTAAATGATGATTTGATGTTTAGTAAGTCGCTATTATTTTATTTGTTCAGTAATTCAATTTTAGTCGTCTTTATTTGCTCATTAAGTCGCCAATTTTGTTTTTATTTATTTGTTAAGTTTTTTCGTTTATTTGCTTTCCATATACTTTACTCTTTGCTTTTAGTTAAACCACATTTTTTTAAGTTGTCTGTATTTTTTTTTATTTTTAATACTGAACATATTTTTATTTAGTGGTGCAACCACAACAAAGTAAGAATTTTTTCAATACTTTTTTATAGCCCCTTAAACCTACAAAAAACCTATTTTGTATTTGTTGTGCCATTGATAATATATTTTCTCTTTTACTTAATTATTTAATCTGTTTTTTTTTTTAAGCAGATGCTCAACAACAACCACATTCTGGTAAGAAGGAAACCTTTTGTTTCAATTTATTTATATCTTTTTTTTTTTAATTTCCTAATATTTTGTCGTTTTCTTTTCTTTACTAATGTATTTTTTTTAATCTGTATTTATATTTTTTCTAGAACCGCAACAATAACTACAATCAGGTAAAAAAAAATTCCAATGTATTTAAAGTCTCTTTTTAAAAAAATTTTAAAAAAGATTTCTTTTAAAAAAAAAAAATTATGCGTGTTTATTTTTTAATACTACACATTTTTTAATTTGTAGTGCAACAACAACCTGGTAAGAAATTAATTTTATACGTTTTTCAATAATCATTTTTTTATAAAAAACCTGTTTTTATTTGTTGTGCTGTTGATATCAAATTGTTTTTCTAATACTTAATTATTATTTTTATCTTTTTTTATATTTTAACTAGAAACACAACAATTACAATATGGTAAGAAAAAACCTTTTGTTTTATTGAATGTAAATCTTTCTTTAAAAAGTTCTTAATAATTTGTTTTTTCTTTTTCTTTACTATTGTATTTTTTTTTAAATTTGTATTAATTTTTTTAGTATAACAACAACCACAATCAGGTAAAAAAAACTTAATTTTTTATTCAATGTTTTGTTAATAACAATTAGTTTTCTATTTACTTGAAATTTATTGTTTTAAATTTTTAAAGACATAAAATGTATTAGTATAAGTATTATTTTTTTTTTGTAGTGAACTTTCAACAAATGTTTTGTAAGTTTTGATTTTTAATTTTTTTTTAAACTTATTACTGATTAAGTTTATAATTTGACTGAATTATTTTTGATTGTGTCATAATCAATAGCTCATGTTATTTTAGTGCAATCTATGGAAGAAATGTGTAAGATTTTAGATTGTATTGATTATTAAACTTTTTATTTGTTACTGTAATACTCATGTTTTATTTAATTTTTTAAAATGTCACTTTACATAGAAAATGTTAATAAAATTGTTTTTTCTCTTTAGTTAATAATTTTTTAAAGAAGAAAGAGGAGCAATCCTGTATGAAAATATCTTTAACTTTATAAATTTATAAATTGGTTCTTTCCAAAAAATAATTGATTATATGCATACATATGGTGGTGGTATACACATCACCATATTATGTAAACATATTGTTTTATTTAAACATAAAAGAATTTAGCTTTTTTTATTGTAAAGTTTCTTATGTATTATGAAATCATAGATTTTTTGATTATATATAGCCCGAACACCATCATTGTCAATGGCAGCAGCTGCCACAACTCCTGGTAAATAAACAGCTTTTTTTATATTATAACTAAAATAATTATTAGTTACTGTTAATATTTTATTTAGTTAATTTTTTTCATACTTTATCAGCAACAATAACAACAACAACAACAACAACAGCATCTTCGTCATCATCTGCTACAAGTGCAGCTGCTGCTGGTAAGTTAATTTTTAGTTTTGTATTTCATTAGTATGAATTACTGTGTTATTATTATGTAACTGTAAAACGTGATGTTTACTTATTTTTTTAAATTCTTAATTTCTTTTTTATTTTTATGATAAGGTATAAGATTCAAATTTGTTTATTTAATATTGCATATGATTCACTTTGTTACTTTTATCATTTTAGATTTGTCATATGAGGCTTTTATAGCCTACAGGAGGAGTCAACCAGGACCCATATCCGACAGGGCCAATAGGATATGGGTCTCAAATAATGGGGCAGATCTCCCCTCTTTTCGTTGGGGGAGAAGAAGAAGAAATGGGAGGGGGTGGGTGGGAGGTGGTGTTACGTATAATTATAATTATAATTGATTATACAAATTATACAAATAAATAAAATAAAAGTTTACAATAAGCACTGTTGTTTTTCTTTACCCTTCCTAAGATAAATTTTGCCAATGTTGGAAATGATTTTAAACAATAAAGGCGTTTATGACTTTTTTATTTAACATATGGGTGCCTTACAGTAAAAAGTACCAATCTTCTGAGTTACTGATACAGTTGCATAGAGTCAGGAATAAGTCAATTAGCCTGATAGCATCATTTTTAAAAGTTCTACATAGTTTTTCATGGAAGTGTTTTAAAATGAAATTACAGTAAAAAAGACTTTAAAAATTGACAACTTAAAACTGTGTAAACTAACATAGCAATAAAGGTAATGTAAATTTTCATTATTTATTTAAAAAAAACTATTACTAAATATTAAAACTGCTTGAAAAAGATAAAAAAGGTAGTTGCAACGCGTATACCTCCGAATCTAAAAACTACGACTTGGTACCTTTTCCTGTGTTTTTCTTTTTCTGAATTTTAAAATTTATAATTATTTTATAATCTAAGTTTTTAAAAGAATTTTACCAATATCTTTATACTAGACAGTTTACTGTTCTATAACTATATATACATATATACATATATGTATATATATATATATATATATATATATATATATATATATATATATATATATATATATATACACACACACTATACAATGTCTATATTATTCCATTTAGATATTAAAAAAACAGTATTTAAATTATTGAAGGTATCGGCAACATGTGGTTGATATGACGTTCATCAATTTTTGTTTGTAAAAGTTGGCATGTCTTTTTTATTTATTTACAAAATAGTTTTTACTCTTTAATATTCAGTTATAAATTTTTTTAAACTACTATCATTTTTTTTCTTATTTTTTTTTAAATGTTTTATTTGTCTTACTACTTACAATACAACATGTAGTATTTAAACCTAAACTCAGCTTCTATGTATATTTCTTTTCTAAACCAGTTAAGTGTATGCCTATATATATCTATATATATAGTTAGATAGATAGATAAAGTTATATATAGATATATATAGATATATATAGATATGTGGTTGGCTCGCGATGCAATTGTCGTATCGCAAATTTATTAAAATTGTCGTATCGCAAATTTATTAAAATTGTAATAATGTAATAACGTAATTTATGTAAGTTAAAAGTTTTGTAAATGTAAAAAATTATTTATTATTAATTATTTAATATAACGTTTAAAAAAAACTTTTTTTATTAATATATGATGCTAAATTTACATATATTAGATAATTACATATTTATATATAACTTTAATAAATTTGCGATAGGACAATTGCATCCTGAGCCGACGATGTAGATATGTTTAGATACATAGTTTAGATTGATAAATTAATTGTCTTTCATTATGTTCGTTCATTTTAGATAAGTATAGCAAAAAATTAAACAAATCAAGTTTTATCAAACTAAACATAGTTGCTTTATCATGTCAAATAACTTAAGAGCTGAAATTAGAAGAACTTGCCAAAATGAAAGAAACATAGCTAGGCGAGAAGAAATTAATCGTCGCCAAAACGAAAGAAATGCGACTAGGCGAGAAGAACTTAATCGTCGCTTAAATGAAAGAAATGCGACTAGGCAAGAAGAACTTAATCGTCGCCAAAATGAAAGAAATGCGACTAGGCGAGAAGAACTTAATCATCGCCAAAATGAAAGAAATGCGACTAGGCGAGAAGAACTTAATCATCGCCAAAATGAAAGAAATGCGACTAGGCGAGAAGAACTTAATCGTCGCCAAAATGAAAGAAATGAAGCTAGGCGTGCATTACTTAAGTGTGGAATGCATTGCATAGCAAGAAATAATAATATTATAGAGAGAAGTTACCTTAGAGAAATGAACCATATTTGTCAATATTGTGGTGCTAAAAGGTTTTTAAATGAAACACATTTTTTGTGCTGCCATTCAGGAAAAGTTGTGTTAGCTCCTCTTTCACCTTATCCACCACTAATGATGGATTTAATGAAAGGCAACCATGTTGATCGTGCTTTAAATAAAAATTTCTTTAATCACATTCGAAATTATAATGCCTGTCTATCTTTTGCTTCATTTGAAGCTGGAATAGCTCCTCCCTCGAATCATGGCCCACCATGTTTTAGGATTTGTGGACAAATTATGCACCGTATTGGTAATCTGAGACCTGATCAAAATGTTTCACCATCTTATTGTCAGTTATATGTTTATGATCCCAATACTGCCTTAAATTTTCGAATGGAGCAAAATGATTGTTGCATACGGGAGTTAATGGAACTTTTACAGACTATAATTAGTCAACAGAATCCATATGCTCTTGCTTTTAAAAATATGGCACAAGTTGAAGATGAAGAAATGCGTCAAGCAGCTTTAGTAGGTCGCCCAACTTCAGTTGTCAAAATGTCATTGCTTGAAGGTCGCGATAGGCGTCGATACAATCTACCTTCACACGATGAAGTTCCCATTGTGTTTGTAGGAGACGATGGTGCTCCACCTCCATCTAGAGAAGTTGTTATACACCCTCGAGGTCAGGCCTTGAAAAAAATATCAAGTATGTCTGCTAATCTAGATCCAATAATATATCCAATTTTTTTTCCAAGAGGCGATGCAGGATGGCATGATCAACTAGAGCACAATCCAGACAGAGCAACACGTGTTAGAAATCATGTTACTTTGTCTCAGTACTACAATTATAGGCTATCTATTATGGTAGGAAGCTTTTTCAACAATATGCTGTTGATGCATATGTCAAGATTGAAGGACAACGCCTTGCCTTCATCAGAAATAACCAAAGCAAACTTAGAAGTGAATAATATAATACATTACATGAACATGTAAACAACTTTGCAAATAATCATGACATAAGACCAGAGCGTATTGTTTTACTGCCATCTTCATATGTTGGAAGCTTAAGAGCTTTAATAGAAAATTTTGAGGATTCAATGGCAATTATAAAGAAATACGGCAAACCAGACCTTTTTATTACTTTTACCTGTAATCCAAAATGGAGAGAAATTACAGAAAATTTAAATCCAGGTGAATGTGCAAGTGACAGACCTGATTTAGTTAGTCGTGTATTTAAAATGAAACTTAAATGCTTCTTAGAAGATATTTTTAAAAAAGGTGTTTTAGGCAAAGTTATAAGTCATGTACAGGTTATTGAGTTTCAAAAACGTGGTTTGCCACATGTACATATTTTATTACACTTTGTAAATAACGATAAGTTAGAAACAGCAGAGGATATTGATAGTTTAATATCAGCTGAAATTCCAGATCAAACTGTTGATCCTAAACTTTTTGAAATTGTAAAAACATGTATGATTCATGGACCATGCGGAATTTTAAATCCCAATTCATCGTGCATGAAGGATGGGGTTTGCACAAAAGGTTTTCCTAAAGATTTCAATCTTTATACTGTTGCAACTTGCAATGGCTATCCACACTATAGGCGTTTAGATAATGGTAGAGTAGTTGTTATAAAAGGTAACCAAGTTGATAATCATTGGGTTGTACCCTATAACCCCTGGTTATCGAAAAAATACCAAGCCCACATTAATGTTGAGGCTTGCATGTCCATTAAGTCAGTTAAGTATTTATACAAATATATATATAAGGGGCATGATTGTGCTAATGTGGTAATTAATCAAAGTGTTCACCATGATGAAGTTAACACATATTTAGACTGTCGCTTTGTTTCTGCACCAGAGGCTCTTTGGCGAATATATGAGTATTCCATAAGTGATATGTCACATACCATTATTCGCCTTCAAGTGCACCTTCCTGATAATCAGATAGTATATTTTAACGAGGGAGAAGAACAAGTAGCTATTAATCGTGCAGCACAGCGTGACACTCACCTAACTGCTTGGTTTAAATTAAATGCTGAAAATTTTGAAGCACGTCGCTATTCTTATATTGAAATTCCACATCACTTTGTGGTTGATGGCAAAAATTGCAAGTGGAAAGTAAGACAAAGAGGTAGTGATATGGTGATAGTGCGAATGTATAAAGTCAATCTATCCAGTGAAGTATTTTTTCTTAAATTGTTGCTTTTGCATGTAAAAGGTGCATTATCTTACGAGAATTTGCGCACTGTGAATGGTACTGTTTTTAATACATTTCGTGAAGCGTGTTATCAGTTAGGTCTGTTGCAAGATGACATTAAATGGAGAAATACATTAACTGAGGCTGTTGCAACTGGATTGCCTAAACAAATTAGGCAACTGTTTTCCATCCTATCAACATTATGTCAACCTGATGATCCTTTACACCTATGGAATACCTTTAAAGATTATATGGTGGAGGATGACATACACCGTTCAATGCCAATCCTACTTGCTGAACAAGTAGCACTTTGTCAAATTGAATCTATAATTAATCAGAGTGGTAAAACTTTAGCTGATTATAATTTGCCTACTTTAGATCAGTTTTTAGATTCTATCCCAGAAAATGACGATGAAGATGTACAGGTATTTATTGATGAAGCAAATCGAGTTAGACCATTATTAAATGATAATCAGCGTAATGTAGCTGATGCAATTCTTGCTGCACTTAATGAAGAACCTAATAATGAAAATAAGCATTCAAGATTGTTTTTTATGGATGGGCCTGCTGGTTGTGGGAAAACATTTACTTACAATTATTTAATCACTGAAACACGCATCAGACATATTAGAACTGCAACAGCTGCATGGACAAGAATAGCTGCAACTCTTCTTAAAAATGGATGCACACTGCATGGCTTATTCAAACTTCCTGTGCCAATTTTGGAAAATAGCACATGTAATGTAACTCCAAATTCTATTCATGGTGAATTCCTTAGACAAGTAAGTTTATTTTTACTTGATGAAGCATCTATGATTCCTAAACATGCTTTAAGTGCCATTGATAAGTTATTACAAGATATTTGTAATAATAACTTTCCTTTTGGTGGTAAAGTTATTCTTATGGATGAAGACTTTAGACAAATACTTCCAGTTGTGAAAAGAGGTCGACCAGCTGAAGTTGTAGAATCATGTTTAAAATGTTCTGAACATTGGCAGTATGTGCAAAGGTTTTCATTAACTGAAAATATGAGGGTTCAGATAGGAGAAGAGGAATTTTCTCAATGGCTTCTAAAGCTTGGAAGTGGAACTTTACCTGTCAAGCCTGAAGATCCTTTGCGAGGGTGTATTAAAATATCTGGGCAGTGCTTTGTAAACGATAATGAATTTATTGTGGAAAAGATTTTTGGTGGCACAGAGGAAGCTGATTATGCTAATTGTGCTATTTTAACACCAACAAATGTTGATTCATTGGCAATAAATGAAGAAGTCGTTGATCGTTTACCTGGTGATACGAAAATTTACTTAAGTTCAGATAGCATTGAAACTGATGATCATAATGAAATTTATAATTTTTCCAGTCGAGTTTTTAAATAGTTTGACTCCATCAGGTATGCCTGTTCATTGCCTAAAAATAAATATTGGTGCTGTTGTAATGCTACTTAGAAATTTAGATCTTAAAGGCGGACTTTGTAATGGAACACGTTTGATGGTACGTGCACTGCACAACAATTATTTTGATGGACAGGTTCTAACAGGGGTAGCAGCTGGTAACAGGATCTTAGTTCCTCGAATTCAATTAGCTCTATCGGATTCAAATTTACCCTTTATACTCAAACGTCGTAAGTTTCCAGTTAGGTTAGCATACTCAATGACCATAAACAAAAGTTAAGGTCAAACGTTTGACAAAGTTGGAGTTTATCTTAAAAAGCCTTGCTTTTCACACGGTCAATTATATGTTGCATGTTCAAGAACAAGATCGTTTAATAGTTTATTTTTTAAAGTTGATAAACATTCATTACAAGGTATGTCATTAAACAAATTTTACACACAAAATGTTATATTTACAATGTACTTAATTAATAAATAATGACTTTTTTTTTTACTACTAGAGACAATACATTTTGACAAATAACAACACAACCAATTTTATTTTTGACTTACTGTTGTTGCAAAGCCAGAAACCAGTCTTTGATACTGGTTAAAAAACCAGTCTTTGATACTGGTTAGAAAACCAGTCTTTGATACTGGTTAAAAAACAGTCTTTGATATTGGTTAAAAAACAGTCTTTGATACTGCAATAAAAACCAGTCTTTGATACTGGGAAAAAACCAGTCTTTGATACTGGTCAAAAAACCAGTCTTTGATACTGGGAAAAAATCAGTCTTTGATACTGGTTAAAAACCAGTCTTTGATACTGGTCAAAAAACCAGTCTTTGATACTGGGAAAAAAAACAGTCTTTGATACTGGATATTTTTACTGCAAAGCCATTCTTTGTTACTTATAAAAAAACAGTTGACAATTGATAATTACATGAAATGACAGTATTAAAGAGATGTGCTTCATATGTTAATAGAAAAGCACAAATATTTTTTTGACAGACTCCTTAGCTCACCTTCACGTTGGTGTCTGTTGTTAAAAAAGATTATTAGATAGTTTCATTGCTGAGACTAATTACTTTTAATCATTCACTAAGAGCTAAGAAAAATTAGTTTAATAAGTTTATTTTGCTTATATTTGATTTTAAATTTTAGTTTAATTGTTATAAAAATCAACTTTACTTTTGGCTTCCCAATAAATATACGACCTTCTACGAACCAAATATTATGTCAAAGTAAATTATATCTTTTTAGCATTTTTTTACCATAATCTGTAATTACCTTAATTACTTTTTTTTTTTGGAATTACATTTCATCGTTGATTGTTAATAAATATTGTAATAATAACTATGTAGTTGTTTCTTTTAGACTGTCTATTTCGAATCAGTGAAGTGATTTAGCTAACGAATCAGTGAAGTGAATTACCTTAATTACTTTTTTTTTTGGAATTACATTTCATCGTTGATTGTTAATAAATATTGTAATAATAACTACGTAGTTGTTTCTTTTAGACTGTCTATTTCGAATCAGTGAAGTGATTTTGCAACGAACCAAGTTGTGAAGTCTTTAACATTAAATCAAATATATTCACAAAAAAAATTTTGTTGTTTATATTTGTTAATAAAAACATTTTTAAAAATTTAAAAACTTTTACATAAAACATTTGAAATTCTTTTAAAAGTTAAATAAAGATTTCTTTTTCCTCGATTTTACAATTCTGGCTTATTAGTAATATAGCTATAAAAAGCAACAACGATAACGATAGTTTTTATTTTCTTAACACCATTTCTTAACACTCTCTCCCCTTGATTTTTGCTTGCAAAATTTTGTCACTAATTTGTGCTAAAAACAAGTTTTTGTTACGGAACAAGTAAAGAGTTTTTTTGCTTCGTAAGTTTGATATAGTTTAATAAATGGTTAAAATCCTCTTTTTACTGTAGTTTTTTTCAAAAAGGGTCCTGTAGGAATTTTAGTCCAAATCTAATATATGAAATGGGGTAGGAATGTAAGTTGAATATAAAATTTCAACTAATACTTTTTACAAAGCACCATAACGCAATTTAGTTAAAACGTGGCTCAAAGTCAAATCAACATTTTTAAAAATCTTTTTTAATTAAAATATTTGAAATTTAAAATGTTAATATAAATTTTAGTGAGGTAATAGTGAAATGCTAATAAAAATTATAGTGATGCTAAAATAAAATTTAGATTTAGTGAGAAATAAAGCCCATTTTCGACAAATCCAGATTTACTAGGTAGATGACTTTTAAAACTGATTCTACGCTGAAAGTTTCTGTTTTTATCACTTATTGAAATAAAAACAATTTTCTCAGTTTTAATTCAAATATTTTAAAATTTAAGGGAAAATGCCTATTTTCAATTGTTATTTTTAAGGAGACCTGATTAGTAAAGATTAATAATCGAGGGTTGGTGTGGCTTGGTAAGTTTGGAGTGGGTATAAATATTTTCTCAAAAAAAGCGTCTCCCCCCCTATCTTTTAGGATTTTAGAGTCACCATTAAATTTTGACATAAGTTGCAAGAAGTGTCTCGCAAATGCCATTTATGTTAAAGTTAGTGTTTACGCAATCAATAAGTTTAATCTTCGTATCTAGGACATTAAAATTTTCATTTAGATGTTTTCATTTGCTTGAGATTTTCTTGCGTTATAAACCGGATAATAGTTCTTATGAACTGTAAGCACGCGGATAAAGTGTGCATCAATATCCTAAAGACCCGCATTTTACGGGTCATGACAGCTAGTTTTAAAATTATTTGAAACCAAGATTTAAAATAAATTTTTTCAGTCATTGATTTAAAATCTTTACAGTGATTGATTAAAAATCTTTACAGTCATTGATGGTCCGTTTATTATGTAGTTTTGAACACTTTAGCATTATTATCTTTTTTATGATTTTTATCAAAGCATTTTAACCAAAATACTTTTAAATTATCTAGTGCAATAATAAACATAAAAAATAGTTTTTTTCTTTTAAAAAGTAAAATAAAAAACCGCATTTTTGAAACAACTTTACGAAATTCAAATAATTATAACAAATAACACTACTGTTAACTATTAATAATAGTTTTTGTAACAATTAACAGTATTGTATATATATATATATATATATATATATATATATATATATATATATATATATATATATATATATATATATATATATATATATATATATACAGGCCTTGTTTTAAATAAAAAAGTGCTTAATGCATTAGCTTAACGCAATTTTGACATCTTAAAATTATCTTTATTTTTTTTTATAGATGTTAAGTGTTTTAACTACTGCAATAAATAAATAACCGCAAACTAGTTCAATTTAACAATTAACTCAAATAACTATAAACGTTTTAAATGTAAATTTATTATAAAAATTTTGTAATTTTTCAATTGTTATTTTATTATTAATTTTAGTTCAATATTATTTAGTATTAATAATAATAATAATAATATATATATATATATATATATATATATATATATATATATATATATATATATATATATATATTAACTAAATAATATTGAACTAAAATTAATAATAAAATATATTATATAAAATATATAGTTCAATATTATTAAAAAATATAAAATATATAGTTCAATATTATTTAGTATTAATAATAATAATATATATATATATATATATATATATATATATATATATATTATATATATATATATATATATATATACATATATATATATATATATATATATATACATATATATATATATATATATAATATATATATATATATATATATATATATATATATATATATATATATATATATATATATATATATACATATTTTAATTATTTCTGAAATTTGTTTTTGAATAACTGTTTTTAATCGTTATTGAATAAAAAATAATAATGATTTTTTTTATTTTTAAAAATTTCTAGAGTAAACAAAAAATATTAACATTGATAAACACAAACCCTTGTTAATTATTTAAACAACGATTTTGTTTTGACTAGCAAAGAAAAATTTAGGTTTTTAAATATTTTTTAAATTTATCTTGGTTAGCGATTTAACTTGCGTTTTATAAAAATATAAAAAAGTTTCGTCTGCTTCGAGCATATTTTTGATACATAGTTTAGAACGCGTTCGCCAGGAATTTAATTCATAAATTTTTTATGTTATTGTAAAAATGTTTTACTTTTTAAACAAATCACAAAGAAACGGAGCTATTGAGAAAAATCGTTTTTAACGATTAAATCTTTTTTTTTTAAATTTTAGGAAATTAAAAAAAAAAATTAAATTAAATATAAAAGTCTTAATTATGCAAACTCTTTTGTTAATTATTCTTAAAACAAAAAAACAAATACTTCTACGCAAAACTTTAATTGTGCAAACCTATAAAAATACTCAACTGAAATAATTTAAGTATATTTAATAATTTGAATCGTATGTGTTTATAATAAACGCTCGTAAAAATTTGTTTATTAATAATTAAGTTCCTTACCTTATAAACAAACTCAAAAGTATTTTCATTCTAAGTATAATTACAAAACTCTTTTTTTTTTCGTTTGTAAGCAATTTAACTTAATAAAATAAAAAAAAGAATAAATATGAGGTAATCTTTGTTAAGAACAAATTTAATTTATTTATTGAACGATATTTTTATTTTTAACTATATCTCAACTTAATTAAAATATAGTAACATGTTAAAATATTTCAACATGATTTGTGTTATTTATAAACCGTTGGGCAGTTGCCCTTACGGCACCATTGTTTTTGGATAATATTTTATATTGATGAAGATCACATAACTTACATTTGATTTTAATAAAGTAAGTCTTCTCTTTTTTTCTGTGATCATCGTATTGGCAAAGCATCGGCAAAGTCCCAAGATTTAAAAGTTTTTAAACAATTTAGAGATAATAGAAATATATAAGGTTTTTGTACACTAGTTTGTTTATAAACGTGCCTTAGTATTTATTTAACGGAACCTGTAATGTGCATGCATAATAAAACCTCCGTTATATAAGTATATTCAACGTAATATTAGTGTCATCAGCGAATGTTGTAGTCTACTCATGATTTCTTTACCTTATAATATAACTTGATTTATGAAAAAAAAAACTTATTGAATCGCACACAGAAGAAGTTTAACAAATTGTCTTCATTCAAATATTGCGAGTAACAGGTAATTTTTTTTTCTGTGCCGACCCCCTACCCCTGCATTACTTAAAGGTAAAGGTATCTATATACCTTTAACTAATAAGAAAAGCAAAGCAATTTTTTTTAAAATCTCGAAAAAATGT